ATGTTACCTAGCTTATTCCTAATAGTTTCTGTACTCATTTGAAGTTGAAGATACCTCCTTCATTTTATCTGACTGGCTTTAGGTGTACTGAGTTACACTAATTGGTCATTTGGAGATTATTTAACATAACAAATATCAGTATATAAAAAAGTGTCATGTACCAGGAGAGCCAGGAGGACATACAGAACAAAGAATCTGCAAACTGTTTTCCCTGAGTTAGCAGGAGGAACTTGTAAGCCTAAGAAATTATTGCTGAAAGAAAACTAGCCAGAAAGTCTTGAGTGTGCCAGTCCTTTGAAGTCATTTGTTAAGTGTCCCTATAGAGCAGGTGCTTTGTAGTTAGAGCTGAATAGAGAGATCAAGCAATGATTGCTGATTATTCCCCATCAAAACTTAGTTTCCAGATCGTTGAGGTGAGTTAGGCACCAAATACAAGCTGATGCTCTGAAACTGAGTAGGAGTTAGGTACCTGACTCTCTTTTTAGCCTCGTTGACTTTTAGAATGTTTTGTTTGAGGCAATAATGATACTGCAAATAGCTACTTGAAAAGAGAATTCTAGCTGCTGATGACCTTGTGACCCTTGCCAGTTTGCTTATCCTGCTGGCATAGGGGATGGTAACCATCTTGCTTATTAATGGCTGATCTTTCAAAAGAGGATGCTTTCTGTCTGTACCTAGTTATTTGGCCTGAACAGTGGCAATACCATTTTGGATGCCCAGCAAAATGGAAGGGTAAGGAGGAAGCAGAATGTAAATATAAAGTAAAAGCTGTTCATATCAGCTGAATAATCTGCAACTTCTTTACATAAAACTCTGAACAGACTATTAGAAAGAATGAATTCACTTCTACTGATCATTGACAGAAGAATCTAGTCACAGCTGTTTGCTGTGATGATGCATTACTTCCCTGTATGTATATGCAGGTTTTCCTTTTCAAGGGCTTAAAAAAGTAATAGAATATCCAAGTCAGATTGTTTACCAACGTAGGGTTATAAAAATGTATTTTCTTGGGATAGGGGACTTTCTGGAGGGATCTTTGTGCGAGCAATCCCAGTTAGATGCTAGAGAGCCTGTGGGTTACACAGAGGATACTAGAATACAGACAGTGTACATTGAATAATGCGTCTCTGCCTGGCACAACTGATCCACGTGAGTCTGACAACAAAAGCATTGTACAACAAGTAGTAAAGTTTCTCCGTTGCTCATTGGTGAATACTGCCATTGTTGGAAGCCACGCTATTTGTGATACGGGTTTCTTTTCCTGTTCTGTAACTGAAGCTGGAGGCACCTGTCTGTCCGGGTGGACAGAGGCTTTGGTCCATGTCCTCCTCTGGACTATGATCCTCTGCCTGTCATTGGTTTTGGGTGGATAACCAAACTGGGTTTCCAAATTATGTTTCTCTTTATTGCAAACTCTGCACTTAATGTTATGCTGCTGTGGTTTTGCAGACTAAAGAGGATCAGATTCAAGTAATAGGTAACCTCAAGAGCATCTCTATGGCTTCCAGCAAGCTGTTACTAGCTGCCAAGTCTCTGTCTGTTGATCCTGGAGCTCCTAATGCCAAGAACCTCTTAGCAGCAGCAGCAAGGTAAGGATGTGTTTCTTGCATTAGGTTTTCTCTGTGATATGTTTGTGTTCTTCTGCTATTGACAGTTAGCTGAGTGGTTGGAACCTGCAGTTCTATTTAAATGAAAGTAGGCCAGGTAAAACCTGCTTTTTTTGGAGAAGACACTTAACTGGCATAACCTGTTTGAAGACAGTATTGTCTTCCAAAATATTTGCATGCACAAAGATTAGCCTAGAAAGGAAGTGAGTAAGTTAAGACTGTTACTTCCTTGGGGAAAGTGTAGTTTTATGTTTGTCCTGCACCTTGAAATCATTCATTTCTAATGGCAGTAACTTTATTTAAAAAAAAAAATCCACTTCTTTAATAAAGCGCTTATTTAAGAAGTTATGCAACTTCTTCATATTTGTTAAAAAAATAAAATTCTGACATCCATCTTGTCTCCCCTGCAGTAAATATCTTCTAGGAAAACTGTAGGCGATCAAAGGCACACGGCTTAAAAGTGAAGGAGTTGTACGAGTTTCTGTTATTGCCACAGCATCAAACTGCTACAGATTTCTGCTTGCATTTAGGCTTGGAACGTTCCTGTTTGGAGCATAAAGGAAGTTAGTGTCCCCAGTGAAGCCCAGTTAGTTGTCAGCTTCTGCCAGACTGGTACCCCCTCTGTAGAAGCATGTAATAAAAAAAGGGAGACAAGCCATGCAGAGCCTTTAGGTGTTCTTTTTTGCTATGCTGTTAGCATGTGTAGGTGTGTCTGCATCCATAACACTTTATGTAGACATTAGATAACCATGAAATGGAAATACTGTGTCAATTCCCAGTTTGTGTTGTATTTTCTTTCCTTCCTTCCTTCTTTGTGCCAGCCATAATAGACACTCCAGTTTTTACAGTAGCTTTCACCTCTTGGAGGCATTTTTCTGGACTTGCTCTGACAGTCTCAGGATTGCAACATTGGCTGAGTTCCCTCAGGATCCAAGTATTTATGTGCTGTGTTTGATGAAAACAAATGTGGCTTTTAGAGTCCTAGCAGTTCTCTTCCATTCTGGGGCTGGTGTTTGAGGGGCCACCTTCCTGGTTCTATTGCTTCCAAATAGCTTTAAAAGTAATGCTTGTACATTGAGTGTGTTCCTGGATACAGGTACCTGGTGTGTAGTAATGATATTCATGAGACCACATTGCATCCTCTGCAGATCTGACAATTCTAGTCTATTATCAAGTTGTTTGTTGTTTTTTCTTTAATCACTGATATTCTTTGAGTCTGTGTGTTTTGTCTCTCTTAGAATTAAAATCATCAGTGGACAAGATATATTTGCATTAAACTTACCTGGGAACAGAACATTCGGGTTTTTTTGCCCTTGACATTGTGATGCATAGAAATCACCAATGTTCAGGAGGCTGAGAATCCATCATTTGTATTGATATTATGTTGGTGAAGTCATGCGTGTTGTTTTTCAGAGATAATAATTGTAAAAATATTTGGATATACACGCACACATTGACTTGGAGAATATCGATGATTAGCTAAAGAAAAAAACCAAACTTGATAACAGCCTAGATAAATAGATAGCAGGGTTATGTGTGTATAATACAGTGTGCCAGACAGGACACAAGGCATATGTATGTAACAGTCCTAAAAGGCAGAGGAAGTCAGGAAAAGTGGGTCCAGAAGGACATCAAAGCTACTGAAAAGGGCAAGAGTCTCAGTTAAACAAATATGTCTATTCGTTTCTGTTCTTTTTGCCCTGGAGTTTAACTTAAAACCTGGTGTATATGTAATAAGCACATCCTGTTTGCTTTTCTAACATTATGATACCATCCACCTATGTAATCATGTTATTGATGTTACCAATCATGTTATCAAGTGCCAGTTTTCTTAAAGAGAAAATAATCCATATGCCATGCAGTTTTCAAGGCCAGAGGGAAGCATATTCTCCGTGCACTCCAATTTCATTTGTCTACTAATTTGCCATGAGAAACAACACCAAAAAAGTCCCCTTGCATTCCACTATAATGTCACAATAGAAACTAAGTTTTTGTGAATTGGTGCCAATATGCCTAGCTTTAGAAAATTATGAAAGGCAGACCTCCTGCAAAGCTTCCTGTTCTTGAAGCTACATTCCTGGGTGCTTAGCCATTAGTCTAAAATGAATGTAATTATAATGGCTTTTGCTTAACATCAGAGCGTTCATCTGAAACACAAATAAATGACTATATTGTATGTCAGATTCAGCCTGCATTCAAGAGAACCAGAACTGTGAACTCCCATAGAAATGTAATGCAAAAATATCTTGTCCTCTGTGGATTTAAGCCTAAGAGAGCCAATGCATGTTGATTCAGAGAATACCAATCAGCAGTTAAAGAGAAAACAAAAAAGGCAACTTGATGATAGACTACAGAAATATATAGCAGGATTACGTGCGTGTGTGTAACACAACACATCAGAGTTAAGACTTTGCTAGCAAAATGGTGTATAGTATAACTTCAAACTTTTTTTGACACACTGGCCACTTCTCTCTGTGTCTTTTAAGACCTCTGAGGTGCTAGTTGAGAAATGATTCAGTTACTATCAGGACCTGGAGAAGTGCTATGTCCCTGTGCTAGGGCAGTAGGTTGACCTTGACTTGCTGCCAGATGACCTCTTGCCCTCCTGTAATGCCATTTTCCCAGGGGTGCCACCAGCTTGGCTGTTGGGCTCGGCCGTGTCCTGCAGTGGGTCTGTTGGAGCTGTCTGGAACCAGCTGTGCCTGGCATGGGGCAGCCCCAGGCCTTTTCTCACAGAGGCCACCCCTGCAGCCAAAACCTTACCACAGAAACCCAATACGCTTGTTGTGAGATGAAGCTTCTGTTTCTTCTGGACCGACTTCTCAGTTGTTTCCACAGAAGGGACAGATTTCCAGGTGTGCATCACTATCAAATATTCTGGTGAGAATGTTTTTGCTCCTATGAAGCTTGTTAAAGAAGAGATCTCTAGGTGAACCGTTTAATGTACAGTTAACCCCCAAACACTGAAAAGAAAAATAGGTAGTAAAACATCAAAGGTTTCAGTCTTTATGCAGTGAACAGTTAATGAAACAAAAGTTTTAATAAAAGGAATAGTTTAGCTTTAAAAATACCTGTTTTCCTTCTACTCTTCCTAGAGCTGTGACTGAGAGTATAAACCAGCTCATCACACTGTGCACCCAGCAAGCTCCCGGGCAGAAGGAATGTGATAATGCACTCAGAGAACTGGAGGTATTACTACATTTCAAAAGTTCACATGAATAAAAAAGGGCCCCAAATGTTTGTTTCCTTTGTTTTCTTTGTCCTATTAGCTGCTGTCACTGTCTTCTCACATGGTATCTGTGGCAGGGGTTTTAACTGCATAGAAGGTAAGCATAGAACCTCCGTGAACATCTTGTAGTTTTGGCCACAATTAAATTTGCTGCCCTGACCCATCTCCTCTTCCCTGCCTCTCAAAAGGTACAGTTTAGTCCGTATTATTCATAATCACTTGAATTAAGGAAGAATCATGATGCAATGGACATTCCCACTACCAGCAGTACACGGGAGGGAGCTGCAGTATCTCAATTTTCTGCCTATAGAATGTTGTTGTTGACATCCCACTTTAGGATGGCGTTTACCATCTTTTCCCCTCTTGCTCACCACCATTTCCTAGAGTAGATTTCTGATGCCTTGTCACAGCCAAGCTGATATGACATGTGTGTCAATACAGGGTTTTGCAAGGTATGTTCTGGTTCATGAGTGAAAACTTTGGCTGAGTTAATAGTGGGTAGCAGGTCAGCTGAAAGTCCTAATTTTAAGGCTGTGCACTGATCACAGAGACAGCTGCTTACATTAGTAGGAAATAGCATCTTTTTAATTAAACTAAATGTTTATCTGCTGTCAAGGCCAGAACATGGTGATTGGCCTATGTAGAGAACATAAAACACTTTCAAGCTTTTTGTTCTTACGTCTTGGTATCTAAAGGATACAAAGGCCGTTGCAGTGCATTCCAGGATATTGTAAGTTTTTGTAATATGCAAGTCCGCAGTCAGCATCCTAGAATATTGGCAGGAGTTTGTCTAGGAGCTGCTTTGTATTTCTGAAATTGTTAGCTTCTTGAACTTGTGAGTGTTCTCCCCTTGGTTAAAGGGAGTGGTAGCAAGTCCGAATAATAGAAAGAGAAAACTGGAAACTGGGCCAGAATGTAATGGCTGCCTCAAATCACTGCAAGAATGTAGGGGTGGAGCAAGCAGGGGGAATGAAGTGCTATTTCTCAAGACTTCCTGAAAGACTAATGGAGAGAGATCTACAAAGCAGCAGGGATGTGAAAGGTCAGAATTCTCTGCTAAGGAGCCATGGACAACCGAGAGCTTCGGGGAGAAATGTCAGCAGAGCAGCCTTAAGAAGCCACTGCAGAGGGTTTCTGTGCCAAGAGCATGGCTTGCATGGATTGGGAGCAGAGCCCAGGAGGGGCAGAAGGAAGATCTGCAGTGTCTTGAACTTCTGGAAACACTTGCCTGAGAGGGGCAGTTAGTTAGAGAAGCCTGGGTGCATGAAATCAGATAAATTTCTGAGAAAAGGTAAACTGAGGCAAAACCAAGCAGTCCTGAAACCAGACTGGAGTCTGGTATCGAAGTGAACCTATAAAATTCTGGGGAAAGCATCCTTAGTAGTCTTAACTTTCAGTTTCTCTTTACAATGATTAAGCTCTTACCTCTACCCTTCATTTCTCCAATTCATCACCTACTAATTCTAGTCTCTTCAAGGCTTCTTGAAAGTACTAAAAAGTAGAAAGAGCTTATCTCAGCTTGGATTTGATAGACTGTTAATATGCTCCCTGGTCTTGCCTGGAGACTCTGGAAAACTGTGTTTAGAGAGGACCTTACTGTATGACCTCTAATGAGATAGCTAAACTTGGCCAGAATTTCAGCTGAAAGGATTAACAAAGGTGTTCCAATAATACTAAATGCGTGTCGGTGGGAAGTTGTGCTGGCTTGTGCTTCACTGTTCTGTTTCCTCACATTCCAAGGGCAGCTGTCTCCATAGTAATGCAAGTATTGCAGGAACATTGTTTGCTTTACAAGTTGTTGTTTAAAGATGGAGCACAACAAAGAAGAGTTACTGCAATATCTGTGAGAGCTGAGAAAGGGATGAGAGGCAACGAAACTGTTTTCTAGATACGACTTCTTCCTCATGTCACCTTGTTCTCGCAGTTTAATTTCTGTAAGACTTTAAGTTAGGCTATAGCTTTTAAAAAGCAATAGCTGAGCTGTTTAGAATATTGTAGGCATTTGTTAATGTTTGGAATTCAGTTATGAGAAAAGTCTAAGGGTTTAAAATCATGCCTAGATTTCCTTCAGGTGGAAGTCAAATGTCAGATACGGATATTAGTATCTTTCTATACTTATTGATTTCACTTTTACTAGAAAGAGTAAAAGTGTTTTCTGCCTGATATTTGGCAGCAAAGAGTGTTCCTCCGGACTTGGAAAAAGACATAGTAGATGTTTTACATGTAAGAGAATTAGTCTGCTGGATTTTACAACTTTTTACAAGTCTTGTTATCTAAATGCATTGATTCTTTTCAATGAATATGTCACTGACTTTCACATTGTTATTTCCAGGAATCAGAATCACCTCAGAAAAAAGAAATCAAACCCAGCTAATATATGTAGTTTTCTGGCAGAGGGAGCGGTGTTGGTGGAATCTGTTGACAGTAGTAAGAGGCAGGCAGGTAGTTGACTTGCACTTAGTTTATCTTTAGACTCTCTTTAGACTTTGTGTCTCTAGACAGAGCTTAACATATGGTAGCTGGTTTTCCTATCACTCTTGTAATTCCATTTATGAAATTTAAAATAGTACTGAAAACATTTATTAGACTGACAACTGATGGAAAACCAGATAACCTCATGTCAGCCATGTGGTGCTAGCTGACCATAAATCACTCATCACAAACGCAAGGTAAATCACATTAACCTATGCTGCAAACAGATCTGTACTGCACAGATGTGTAGTTACTGCAGTTAAGTTAATATAGGGTAGCATTTAACGTGTAGCACTCTCATCTGTATGTGATGGTGTGGTTTTGTTTGCTTGCTCGGGACAAAGTTGTAGGATTACACGGGTATAAGCAGGATAGTTGTGATGGGTCTATATTCCAGGCTCTGTTAATAATCAGAGTATCTTTCATTATTTCAGACAGTTAAGGGAATGCTGGATAATCCCAATGAACCTGTGAGCGATCTCTCATATTTTGATTGTATTGAGGGCGTGATGGAAAACTCAAAGGTAACTTCCTTTTCCAACATCTGTGCCAACTTCAAAGTGCATTTTAATTGTCAGAAGTTTCCACATGCATATCAAATATGTAAGAAACACAGCACTGTGTTTATAGCTAAAATGTATGCTGCATTCCTTGACAAAACTCAGCCTGAGATAGGTCTCTTTTAGGTAATTTCAGATTTTGGTCACTTAGGAAGCATATTGCCTTGGTAAGAAATTTTTTATGAAGTGGCTGGTATGCAATGCTGTTAAAGTTTCCTTGTTCTCTCTCTTTCTCCCTTGTGTATTAGGACAGCATGTCATACTTCCATGATATATTTTGACTGACGCTATATTAGAACAGCCCAAGGCATGAATGGGAGGCTTGATAATGCAATATCATATCAGTCTGTGCAAAAACAGCTTAGAGAAATGTCTGAGTAGTCCAGATATTCCGTCTCATCAGAAAATCTGTTTGAAATCTCAGTTATTTTTAAACAAACCATGCTATGCATCTTTCTTTGAAGCTTTACTTTTAAAAGAAAAAAACAAACTTTTTTCCTTATTATTTGATGTGTTGTAATTGTCTCGGATCCTTCCTTCTTTAAAAGAAAAAGAAAGTGCATAATGGATTTGCACATCATCGAGCATCTAATGTTCTACTGCAATCAGATTTTATTTTGAATTTTAGAAGAAAATAAACTGAATTCAGTGGAGTCACTGGGGGAATTTAATGTGTATTCTGACATTCAGATGGTTCTGGTAGACTAGATGCAGTTTCATTTCCACTGAATTTCGGTGAGTTTGGGGGCAAAGAAGATCCCAGATGTGTTTTCAGCAGCTATGTGAAATGTACCTAGCACCAGGCTAGCTGTGAGGACCAGTGAATGATAGCAAAAATAATGAGGGTTAATTTTGTATTCATGCAGTCATTTGCACTATAACAGTGTTTATGTTCAGCAGTGTCAATCCAGTGTTGATCTGCATGCCTTATCCTGTATGCCACATAGAGGAAAGTACCCAATTCAGTGAAGTCGTTAACTGGCTAAAATTTCTAGAAGCCAAGTCAAAGAGGTCAGGAATTGCTTGCCTTTGAGTGGTAGGAAAGCATATTGGGAAGGTAATTTTGTTTTTCAATTTCTGAGGTCCTTGGAGAATCAATGGCGGGCATTTCCCAGAATGCAAAAACTGGGGATCTGTTAGTCTTTGGAGAATGTGTTGGAGTTGCATCCAAGGCTCTTTGTGGCCTCACAGAGGCAGCAGCTCAGGTAAGCTACCAAACTCTGTAAAGCAAGTATGTGTTTTTATTTTCTTAGAAAGGTCATGTTGTGTGACTCTGAGATTCACTTCCTTGTGGCCAAACTAAATTATGACTTTGTACTATGCAGCAGTGTGCTATGACATATCAAAGCTCATCAAAGATCCAAGATGGATTTAGCATTGCTTCTTAGGATTGTTTTCTTCCTTTCTCCATTTCTAGGCTGCTTACCTGGTTGGCATCTCGGATCCAAACAGTCAGGCTGGTCAGCAGGGTCTTGTCGACCCAATTCAATTTGCCAGAGCCAATCAAGCAATCCAGATGGCTTGCCAGAATTTGGTAGATCCAGCAAGCAGCCCATCACAGGTGATTCCAGAGGATTGCAGTGATTGTCATTTTACAATTTCTCCTAACAATTTGTCATTATTAGGACATGTGACTTCATTTTATTTGGGACCATGCAAAGGAGTTTTGGTTTGAAGGTGCTGTATGGCTTTGAACTGTAATTTTGCAGAGCTAGAGTATAGTGACTGTCATGCTCCTTTGACAATCTGCTTGTTTTGTACCATCTGTTTTACAGGTCTTATCAGCTGCCACGATTGTGGCCAAACATACTTCTGCTTTGTGCAATGCTTGCCGTATTGCTTCATCAAAGACAGCAAATCCTGTTGCCAAGAGACACTTTGTACAGTCTGCCAAGGAAGTTGCAAACAGCACTGCTAACCTGGTTAAAACTATCAAGGTACAAATGCTGCTTAATTGTGCTTCATTCTTCCTTTGTGTTTTGGTTTTTTTTTCTGTTGAGACAGAATCAGAACATTTAAGAATATCTTTTTACCTTCTGTGATATGTATCGATTAAGGAATCACTAATTATGGTTTTGAAGACCTGAACTGGAAAACACATTCAGTGGTACAGCTGTGCTGTAGTCAAGGTGGAAAGAATTGGACAACATTAGTGTTAGGAGAGGCAGCTGGCCCATTCAGCATGTGGCACCTCTGGGTCAATGTACTTAATAAGCTTGCACCGTGAGAATGATTTGCAAACAACGGAATGTTACCTTGCTCAATATCTGGAAATATGTGGAGGTATTTCTGACAGCTTTATGATATATATAAGAGAAAACTAAAGAAACAATATTGGGAACCAAACAAGCCATTTATGTTGCTGCTGTTTAATAGTCTCCTGTGAACAGTAATCTTTTATTTTCCAGATACCTGCCTGCAGTTTGGCAGGAGGTAGCTTTTCCTCATGCTAGCAGAAATAATACTTGTTAAGCTGTGGGTGACTCCCAGTTCTACACCCTTCTGGAAGCCATTAGCTGGTCTGCTACTGAAAGTCTTTTAGAATAATTATGTTCTTAGGACTAGAAGGTTCTGTTACTTTACAGAGAAGATGCTTCATATTGAAATCTTTCCTGTGAGATTAGGAAAGAGATCTGTTGACTTTTGTGAAAATGAGAGCAATAAATTATTTATTTGCTTTAAAAATACATCTTTTTTTAAAATCAGTCTATAGGAAAGAATCACCTTGTTAGTCACTTCCACCCTTCGAAACATGAGGTGCTTGATGAGACATTATTTATGAGAGTCGTCAGAGCTCAACTATATAAAACTTTGATTCAGTCTTGTGAAGTAGAGCAGCAGTTTCAAGTTTAGGATTAATAACCAGCTAAGTAAAGAAACACACACGTAGAGAATCAAATCCTTCACATCAGCCTTGTTTGTGGAGGAACATCCACATGTTGTAGATACACAACAGTTTAAAGCTATGAAGAATTAAACCATCTTCCTTCAATTTTGCAAAGACCCCCACTCAGACAGAACTCAATCACAATTTAATTTCCAGGCCCTGGATGGTGATTTCTCTGAAGAGAACCGCAACAGGTGCAGAATTGCTACTGCACCTTTGATAGAGGCTGTGGAAAATCTGACAGCGTTTGCTTCAAATCCAGAATTTGTCAGCATACCAGCACAGATTAGCACTGAGGTAAGGCAAGATGTTGCACTTCCACCCTCAAAAAGTTAAAAACGTTGAATTAATTATGTGTCAGCAGAAAGGGAGTGTAAAGACCTGACTCCAAAATGTTTCTCTGTGTTCCTGGGTGTCCATAGGGCATTCTGTTGTCTTTCACTTAACCTCTGACCTTGAATTTTGAACCAGTTGAAACTGGTTAGGCTACAGTAAGCGCTGTCAGTCTCCTGTTAGTAAAGTGATACAGTACAGATAATGTGCAAGTCTTCTTAGCTGGATTCTTCCATGTGATAAAGTAATATCTCTCTTTTTCCCTCAAGAGGAGCTTTGAATCTCGCTCTGAAATAACAGGGTTGTCCCCTGAGTACAAAGGGGATCTAAGCTCAGATATAGATTATTATATTTAGAACCATAGAATGTGTTGGGTTGGAAAGGACCTTTAAAGATCATCCAGTCCAACCCCCTTACAGTGAGCAGGGACAATGTTACCAGATCAGGTTGCTCAGAGCCCCATCCCGCGAGACCTTGAATGTGTCCTGGAATGGGGCCCCCACCATCTCTCTGGGCAACCTGTTCCAGAGTTTCACCACCCTCGTAGTGAAGAACTTCTTCCTCATGTCTAATCTAAATCTACCCTGATCTTATTTAATACCATTGCCCCTTGTCCTGTCACTACAAATGGAACGTAACAAATGGAACGTAATTAGTTCTGAAAAGGACTGAAGGGATGCCACTGGGCTTTTTCCCTTCCAAAAATTATGCAGTTGTGATGACGAGAAGGAGGATTTCTGGGAAGAATAACTTTGTGTATTTTCTTCCCCAGATTTCTTTGTTCTCAACCCCTTTAATTACAACAGAATAGTATTTGAAGTAACTAAAAAAGGGGTTTTGAGGTTTTTTGGGTTTGTTTGAGGTTTGTTTTTTGAGGAGGATGGGCATAAAATAAATCCTTCAAGCTTCATAAAAGCTTCGAAGTACAGGTCATGTATGTTTACTGACTCTCCAACTGCTCCTTCCTGCTTTTGGCAGCCTCTGTTCCAGATGATATATCAGATGATGCAGTAACTGCCGCAATCTTAAAGATGTGGGGCTGTAACTGAAATCTAAGCCTGTCCTCCAGACCTGTAGTACTTGGGTTTACCAAATTACTGGTGATAAAGTAGATACAGAGATGGTGACCCAATTAGTGTGTTGTAGTCCAACTAATTCTTGGGAAAAGAGCACATTTGGTTGGATCTTGAGTGTTCTGTGACTCATGTGATATCACTTTCAATGGTAGCTCCAAAGTGTACGATTAGAGAAGTGTCATTGTTTTCTCCTGTTTCTCAGCTGGACGGTGCCTTTCTAAACTTGAAAAGTGTTGCTTAAGTATGTTACAGGGAGAAGAGTTGGAATGAGATTATTTTAGTACTATCCATGTTGACTATCCATGACTATAATAGTGTGATACAAGAAACGGTAATGCCATTTTAATGCTGTTAATTAAAACAGATTTTTAGGAGCAACAAGTGTGGACAAACTCAAATAATTATCCAATGCTCTCTATGTTCTTGTACTTCTCTGACCATAGGGATCACGAGCACAGGAACCAATTCTAGTTTCTGCTAAAACGATGTTGGAGAGCTCGTCTTTATTGATCAAAACTGCTCGTTCTCTGGCCATCAATCCAAAAGACCCTCCTACATGGTCTGTACTAGCTGGGCACTCCCATACTGTCTCAGATTCTATCAAGAGTCTTATCACCTCTATCAGGTATGTCTTTTGTAGTAACCTTTGTGTGTCCACATTTAAGCCATAATAATTGGGCAGCCATTCATAAAGAATAATACCATACGGCCATTAGCACTGTGGTATTTTTCACAAATGGAAATTATTTACTGTGTGATGCACAGTATCTCCCTAGTTATTCTGAGTGTTTAATCATAACTGATGACTGCAGCCCTGGGTTGTTCTTTGTTTCATTCTGTTCTCCTTCCCTGGTTCAACCTCCAGTTCAGTTTAAGGTAAATGTAATAGAGAATGCTTTAGATTTAAAAAAACTGAAGCTAATCTTTCCATACAGATCATGTACCAACATAGTATGTTGAAAGCAGCAAATTTTTTTTAAGGTGGGTCAGACAGTGTATAAATAACCTTTGCTGTCTATTCTTTACTGTAGCGTTCTCCATTTAGATGCAAGAATGCTGTAGCAAGAAGTGACTGTTCTTTATTTTTTGGACTAAACCTGTCTCTCCCTTTCTTATTGAAAATCTTAATGTGTGGTTCCATAGTTAACCACTTAATATCGACTAAATCAAAATGGTATGAAAACAGTGAACTAAGGAGTTGTTTCCGTTTTGTTGATCTCTGATAATGATTGTACAGAAATAGCAAACTGCATGTCAGGACAAAGTACTTGGAATCCAACCTTCATTAAAAGATACCGTGGACTGAATGCAACACCTGTAACCTAAGGAATTGTTTCAGAGACAGTCAGTTTCACTGTACAGAAACATGTATTTTTTCCTGGTGTCTGCTGCATTTTCATGTTGACCTTCATTACTGGGCCAGTCTGGCCACCTAGAAGGGGTGGGGTTTACACCTTTCTAATGAAGGAAAAATTTTTTTCTGTGTAATTATTAAGAGAGGAGTGATACGTATGTGTGTGGGGGGGGATTATGAATGTGTGCAGAGTGCTCTGAACATACACTAATGTCCCATAGGTAGAACAAAGCTAACTTTAGTCCTTAGCTCTCCAAAAACATGCCTCTATGTATTGTCAGGTAACGAAGTACACTGGTGCACATTCGTGAAAGAGCCTGTCTCCTTGCCACCATGCTCAGCTTACTGTTTCTGTCTTTCAGGGACAAGGCCCCAGGCCAGCGAGAATGTGATTTCTCCATTGATGGGATCAACAGATGCATCAGAGACATTGAGCAGGCCTCCCTTGCAGCTGTCAGTCAGAGTCTGGCTGCCAGGGATGACATCTCAGTTGAGGTAAGGGAGATAGCACAGGAACAAACAGAGTAATGCTGAGCAGCCTCACTTACCCTGCTGGGATACCAGGCAAAAGTAGAGGTGAAAGTAGTTATTTTTAATCACCACCCACACATTACTCTGACTTCCTGTGCTGGTGTGACTGACAGGCAAGTTAGCGTTTCTCTGGTGCCTTGCCATGTGGAAGTCAGAATGTTTCTGAAACTAATCTATTACTAAAAGTCCGGTGATGTAAATGTCTCTGTCATTTTTCTTAATGAAATCTGGAGTTGATGTTGATACATTCTCATTAAAAAAAGCTTTCTTACCTTGCTCCATGGTAATGTAGACCAATCCTGTGCTATTTCAGCCTTCATCTAATTGAGGAAGGGCTATCATGGCAGACTGCCTATAAAAAGTCAGCAACTCATGTTCAGATTCTCAGCTTGGTATTTAGTATTTTCTTGTACTATTGCTTCCTATTTCACAAGCCTATTGTATATTCCAGTGGTTTCTTTGGGCTGTAACACGGCACGCTAGAAACATCTCAGACCAAATGAAGCTATACAAAAGAAGTTATTACGGGAAATATGTCACAGATATAATTCTTTTCTGTTTAAGTAATGAGGTAATCTTGGATGAACCAAAATAAATGTTAATGAAACCGTCATGAAAATGATGGTTATTTTTAAAGCAGTACAAGAATGTAATGAAGTGCAAAAATAGTATTTAGTTTTTCTTGGCTTTCATGGGAGTGAGCTAAATCCCAGTGGCTGGCAAGACATGAAGTGGCTCTGAACTGAAAGCCAGTATTTGTCTCAACAAGCCCCGTAGAACACTTTTCTTATGCTCCTGTCCTTTAGATGGTATTCAGGTCAGTCCACATCTCTGTCAGAGCTGTCATTTTTTTCCTTTGTTATGCCTTATAGGTGAATTTCTCCTGCTAGCTTCAAAGTCTACAGCAGAGCTTTTTGTTCTTGTGCCATATTGTCTGCTTTGAAGAATGTGTCTTCATAGTTAAATTGGAGCTCCTGCTGGTTTCTCTGATCAGTGGAGTGATACTAAATCTTTGGCAGGGCAGGAATAGTTTGGGGGTAGGGTGTCATCTAGCAATAAGAAAGGACACCTACTCCTGAGTTTGCTACTGTCAGCAGGAGTAGGAGGAGCCATCTTCCCCCCCTTTCCAAGATAGGAAGGATATAGGATATTTAGGATATAAATGTGAAGAGGAGCAGACTTGTCGTGTTGTCAAAGGGTTCTTATCAAAACGGGGTAAAGGAGAAGAAATGAGCAAGTACGTAAAGAAAGCCAACAGCATGGATTTCTGCATCCCACTGTAGCGGGTCATCTGAACAGTGTTCCGAGTATGTTGGTTGGTCTGTGGACTATTGTTGTGGTACAGTACAACTTGATAAGAGAACTGCTGTGACAGTAACTAACAATTTCTCTTTACATTAGGCTCTACAGGAGCAGCTGACATCGGTTGTCCAGGAAATCAGCCACCTCATTGATCCCATAGCTACTGCAGCTCGAGGAGAGGCAGCTCAGCTTGGGCACAAGGTACTGTCCTACCTTTATGAAGGTATTTGAAATCTCTTGGGGAAGACCATGATTTAGTAACTTTTTCACTTTCTACGAAAGAACAGAAGAAAGCATGTGGAAGGAGGAAAGATCTGGGATTTCCAAGTACTTGGAGCTGAGACCAAATAAATCTGTTTGGTTTAGGCCATTGGAAAGATATTTTCATTGAGGTTTTTGGTGGGAGCGGGTTCACGGAGTAAAGACAAATGAAGAAAGTGGAGAGAGAAACAAAGACAGAAGGGTGGAGCTTGACGTTATAGGTCTCCCTACCTCTGGCTGTTGCAGCCAGCTGCTGCACATATGTGTGGTATCTGTGGTTCTGTCTCTTGAGCTGTGTTAAAGGTGACCTCAGGATCTGAGGCCCATCGTACTCCAGGCTCATTCAGCAGGTCACAGAGCTATAGTTAATATATATATATACACACACACGTACATGTATATAACTTCATATATATACCAATAGATAATTATCTCTAATATATATTTATATGATACATAGAATATAACATT